CATGCACAGCACTAGTTAAATCCTTGTGAAAGCATAGGCAAATTCCTAGTGGTTGACAACGACTCTTCCATAATCCTGCCCAAAACCGCATCGGATCAACTTCGTCAGATGTGCCTATCGCAGTTAACCGCATCGGATGAACTTGCTCAGATGAGAAATACTCATCCCAGAGGAATGGAAAGTAAACGTATTTGCAATCTTAGACCATGTCATGTGAGGACATGACACACATGATGTATCATGTGTTGCTATCCTCTAGCATGTCCTTTTCTGTCCTCTTACACTCATGCCCTGTCAAATTCTTCTCTTTTACATCATGTCATGTCACATGACGACTTTTTCAGTACATCCTCAGTCCCATGTTGAACCCTGTTTCGCGTGACAGGCTTGGTACTTTGTGTATGTTTCCTACTGATACTTGCACTTTACTACATACCGCACCCAAGCCTCCAAAGGCCGAAACAGCCACAAGGGTTGCCAAGACTCGAGTTTCAAGCACTTCCCAACTGTAAAAAGAAAAAACATAGGGTTAACAAATACAACCCGAAGCTCGTTTCATGTGGCAAGCGCGGTAGATTCCAACTTAATGCGTCTTTCCAAAGGCGCAATAATCCCCCATGGGGTAGTTTGCTAGCTGCGCAGCAGCCGGTGGGTGGTAAATCGATTATAAGTCACGACCTCAACGCTTCTTGAACAAACATCATCCCCGAAAAAATTGACTGGGTTCCGAACATGACAGATTGGGCAGGTTGGGCAACAAACCCAAAACTCCAAAAAAAACTGATCGGTTTCAACCTCTAAACCTGAAGTGGGTCGACGGGTTCCCGAACATCCCGATGGGTGCTAACCCCCCAACCAGATGTGGGCTAACCCAAGTTGGGAGAGATGACGGATGGCACATTGAAGACCTATGGGTGCTAAACTCCAGCAGATGATTGAGTACCACCAATTTGGAAACATGATGGATGGCACATCTAATGTCCGAAGCCGCATGTCAAAAGCAAGTGTTCAAATAATAGATGGCAAAGCCGGCCAAGCCAATAAATTTGCAGCCAAGCATCAAAGACGTGATTATTCACTAGAACGCAGCACCCTCGTCCGGCAGGTTGGATGACAAAAAGCCACAAAACTTTAAAAGGAGATGATAGGGGTTATATCTTACAACCGAAAACAACAGTTGGAGATGTGATGGTTAGCAAACCCAAATCCGTAGGCGGTGCTGCCGGCTCCCAAAACCTTCAACCCCGACAGGGGATGATAGGAGATAAACTGAATGCTCTCGAAATAGATTATGGATAGCAAGTCCCTGTTCCAAGGCACGTGCCCTCCAACAAAAAGAATCCAATAACAACAACCCAAAAAAAGCTTGGGCCCTAAACTCATAACAAGAAAAGACGGTGGCTTCGTCCCTTATTCCTCCCTTACGTCCTGTCAAGGGATAAAGCATCTTCTGATGTTTCTCTGACATGAGGTTCAGAAGAGTTAATGTGCCTCGCGTGCTGGAGCGTCCACTGTGACATATGTTTACACTTGTTTTTGTGTTTTTTTATCAATGGCAGGAACGGTTGGTGTCTCGGTCAACCGGCTCGACAGAGGGAGACGAGTCTCCTCGCAAGGACTTTCTGAGTTGGTTCTTTATTAGCATTTAGTGTTGGCTTTCATGCCCCTGCTGCAGGAGGGGGTGGAGATCATGAATCTTAAGGCAAGGCAGATCGCCCACGAGGCAGAGTATGTTGTTGTTGCACGCTGATAGCTTTGCGACATGCAGCCTGTAAAATCTGATGCTTAGGCTCGGGGCGTAGAGAGCCCCATGTCTAAGGGCTCCTCGCAACCTGGTCGCAACCTTTGTGATAGAAATGGTGGCGCGTGCGGACACTGGAAGCGAGCTGACAGCGGGCTCGACGGTCTATGTCGCACGTTTGTTTGTTGCGCCCAGGAGCTTCCTTGCATCCCCTCGGTGTCTCGGGAGCAACCCAAGCGGCCACGTTGGATGATAAGTGACATGCCTTACCTGCATCCGGAATGACCGTATACATCCAAGGTTTGCCCTAACGGGCACATCTATCACCAGTTCGCCGTGGGTGCCGCCTGTGGCAGCAGCTTCGGCACAGAGCCTTGCCAAAAGCTTAGTCGCTTAGGGCGCTTTGGGTTGCGGATTGCGGGTCGTCTGGCGGCGATCAGGGTCCTATGCTTTTGGTTTATTTGGATTGACAAAGCCCGGTAACCAGCCAACGGTCTTAAGCATCTTGCGCGGGGCAGTATCGGACGTCCTGCATGACACGGGTTCAGAAGCTGTTTATTTCAGTTCATGCGATCGCGCCTTCGTGCCGTCAGCCAGGCTTCAACACCCTCCCCAAATAGATAGAGTCTATAACTACAGCAAGGAAGTACAGACACTCTAACTGCTCGTGCCTATTCAGTTGATGGTTCCTGCGCAAACTCATCTAGCTAGCTCAGTTCTGTGCCCAATGGCTTGGACCATCTTGGACCTGCGTGCCACGGCTTCGCTTGCCTGTTCAACAGGTCCGGAGATGTGTCGCCATCGAAAGTCGAGTCGCCACGAAAGGCACGTGAGGCGACTGAGCTTAGTCAAGGTGAAGCCTCTACTGAAAATTAGGTGGCCGTCTGTGTTTCAGCACATGCTTCGGAGCGTTTAGGGATTTAAAATTTAGCGGAGATGACAGAAACAAGGTGTCGAGTGACGTGCGGATGATTTCCGATTGGCGTGCTGGCAAGAAATCACCGTTTGCTGAGAAGGTAGAAAGACCTGGTATGCGGCATTATAATTCGAGAAGAGACGGGCCTTTGAAACTGCAAACCCTGCAAACAGCTGGAATGAGCTACGACGACAGGTGATCCTTGGGCAGGAAGCCGTACCTTGTCAGTGAAATACTCCACAGAAGCGGCAGTGCTCACCCCAGGGCTCTGACAGAAGGGTCCACCGGAGCCCATCGAGTGTAATTATGTGACCATTCTGCCGGCAGTAGTCACTTGCGTGTGTGCTTGGCAAGCTTTCTGTCGGCTCTTGTGGCTGCTTATTCGCTGGTTCTTGCTGAGGAAGTGCGAGCCCGACTCCAATGGAGAGAAGAGCTTGATAGGCTTGCGCTAGAAACACTTCTCTCTGTTTGGCGGTCCGGTCCTCCATGTTTCTCACTGCTTTACCATGTTCTCCATTTCCCGGTGACCCAGAGGAACCTGCGCCGACTCATGACAGATGTAGAGCTGGGTCGAGACCCGGTGATGAAGCACCACGGGCACAAGAGCCCCGGATGGCAGTCCACTCTACCTTGCATTGCCCCCAAGACACGAGACCTGGCGCCATGCATCAGCCCAGGATGGTGTGTGACCAGCAGCTCGGGCACAATTCATCACGCTTTTCGCTTCCTGCAGTGCAGGGGATGCGGCTGTTGTTGGCACAACAAGGTTCGATCGACTCTATGGCTGGTTCAAAGATGCAGGAGACAAGGAAGTGGCCAAGGACATGCCCCCTAGCCGGCTAGGCGTTCAGGTCTTCTGGAGAAGTAGCTTCCAAAATCTTCTTTTGCAGGAGCAGGAGGGACCTGCATTCGTCCGCTACGATCCAGCTAAGCCCGTCATGGCCGGGTCAACTAGAGGAATACCAAAGGCATCCGAGCCTTTGTGACCTGCTTGCAAGATCTTGTCAGAGCAACAGTATGAACATGCCACTCACATCGCACGCAGACTCCGGTGCAAACTGTCAACGTGCAGTTTTCCGGTGTAATCCTGTGTAGCAACACTTGGCTGTGTTTCGCACTAGGCAGTGGCATGCACATGTTGGCATAAGGTTTGTGAGAGATCGACGTTGAAGCTGAGAACTTCGCTCCTCGGAAGGTGAAGTTGTCATGGGAGAGCTGGGTACAGATGCATTGCAGGCGAGATTGACATGCCAAATACTTTATGTTCGCGCTGTCGTAGTTGATGTTCCAGTTCTGCCAGCAGAAGAGATTCAATCGGTTGCTTTCACTTCCATCCCATGTCCAAGAAAATCGGCGGCGCTTTTGCCGCACCAGCTGCGTACTTCTGCGCCCTTCTGAGGGGCCCCGGAAGTTGCGGTTTGCGGTGGTGACACATGCTTGACAGTGAAGAGAAAACCGGTTTGGCCAAGCCAGAAAGGTTTCTCGGTTACCTTTCCCAGAAGCACAGGGGTCTCCGAGTGAGTTTGCTGATTGAACTGGCACAGGTGATGTCAGAATGCGTGGTTATGGCACTTCAGTCTTGCGGGGAAGTGTCATCAGTTCTCACGTTATGTTGTGACATGTTGTGACGGCCTGTGCAATCGGGACAGTGCATCAGCTGCTGCGACGGCATTTGATCTTTATGTTTTCGGTGATGCCCCCTCAAAGGAGGAGAGCAGTAGACTGGAAAGCATCCTGTAACGTTTCCGTTGTCTTGCTTCGTGCATTCGACGCATGATTCGCAGCAGACCTGAAATCAACGAAGCAGAAGCAGGCATGAACATGCTTAATGTTGGGTATCGCAAGCCTTTCCCGTAGATTCTGCAAAATTAGCCGGAAAGGCCGTTGATATCTTCGCGCCGGAGCAGGGCCAGGACGTCAGCGAAACTCAAAGTGAAGGGGGTATTGCAAGCGGCAGCGCAAGGCATCGGCCGAACGGCCGTCGGAACGTTCTTTTTCACACCTCTCTTTTTGGCTCAGAAACTACCCATGGATGGCATGGCGAATGCTGAGAGGAGAGGAGAAGGCACGAAGTTCGCACGAAGGCCTGTCATTTCCAGCAATGAATGACAACTCAGGCGAAGTGTCTTTCCAGAAAAGATTATATCAAAGCACCGCTCCCAAAGCCATGTCCGCAATTTGCCTTGATTCAGGCTGCAAGTGTTTGAACAACCACGAACTGGCACGAGGCACGGCTCTTGGGCCTTCGTGGGCCGTGCCGCACATGTGCTTGTACTGCGCATCCTTCCGCCATGAAGGATTTCATGCTGGACACAAGCGCGCCACCAATCCCTGGGCCAGGGCCGCCAGGGGGCCATGTTCTTACTGGAAGCATCGGAAGCATGTGGACTCGAGTCTTCCCCGGTCCTCTGTCTTCTCCGTCCTACCAGCTTAGAGCAGGGGAGTTCTTCTGGGGGTGTTGCTTTATTTGCCACAGGTGTGCGGTTGGGTGAATTTGCTGATCACTGAGGTTGTGAGGTTCTTAGTGCACTGGCTTCGGTGATCTTCTGCGTGTTTAGCATCCCGGAACTTCTTGGGCAGGCAAGAGCTATGTAAGTGATTTTGCAGAATTATTCGACATATGTACGAACGAAAAACTTCGTTGTTTCATGTTGCCACTTTTCCTCCCTGCTGCATGCAGCCAGCACTTTTGAGCCCCCACGCCTCCCACCCCGAGCATCCTGTACGAAATGGCTAACTCTTCCGGAGCTTGCTGCTGTCTTCGTTGATCTTCTCTGAAGTCGTGTTGGCATCCAAGTTGCGACCCTTTCTTACGGGCTGAGAATTTCAATAGTTGAGAGTTGCATGAGCAGGCGCCCCGCCGCTACCATCACTTAATCCTGCAGATTCATGCTCTTAAGGGTTGATTGATCCCACAGCCGGCAATCTACAGAAGGCGGAAGGGTAGCAGCATACTGCCGTGGCATTTTCCTTCGTGGATCTTCGTGGCAGCAGCGTTTGTGTGGAAAGAGGATTTGCTGATACAGCTCCGCGTCATGTCTACGTCTGTCGATGGGAAACTGCTCCGCGTTGGCTCCGACATATATTACGCACTTGAGACGGTTGTGCCATTGCCCCTTTCCCTGGAGCCCCATGAAAATGCTTTGCACTAGTGTCGCACTTGAATCAGTGAAGCAGATGGGAAGAGATCCTGTTTTCGAGCTGCAGCTGCTGACTTCATCCACTATGACACCCGTTGTTTCATAGCAGTATCGGCAGGCTGGCAATTCATGTTTGTTGCTACTGCATTGATTGCACAATTATGCCAACCAGCAATCAAGCTTGAGGCTTCAAGACATCTCGGGCCGTCCCAGAGTTAGATGACAGGCGGGGCAGCCGGCACATACTTGAAGATAGCATTAGTCGCCGACAATCATGTTATGGGAGCCACTTGGGTGATTGGTTTGCTGACTTGGCGTGAACTGGACATGCTCTCTCGCGTTGTCGTGGGCAGTTTTCTTGCAATCCGCATCCTGCGCCAGGGTGGTGGCTCATTTGGGGTCATTGTTAGCAAGATCTATGCATGGCAAAATTGCGCACGATTTCTCAGCCCAGGGCGAGTTGTTGTTGTGCTATCAGACTACACAGCTGGAGCTGCCTCTCGGCTGAGGTATTTTGAGCCGAGAGCGAGTTTGCCGCCACTCAGGAGGCTTTCTTTTGCCCGCTTATTTCAAATCATGTTGAGAGCCACAGCTAGCCTGGTTTAGGTGCGAACTGGTATAATCAGCTCCCGCGAATGCCGAAAAACAGATTGTGCAGCGAGTGCAGTGCCCGCGCAACAGTGTTCAGGAGTAGACGCTGTGATGTACAGGCCAGTGGCATCGAGCACATGGTCTTCGCCTTCTTGTGTTGGCCGCACTCCCGTCATCTGTGACTGTGTGACTTTGACTGATATCTGCCGTTTTCGAGAGGAGGCACTGCCTCTGTTCGTTGCTGATGACGCTTGCCTTGACCGCAGCATCTATCTCCAGTTAGCTTCCTTCCAGTCGCCTCTGGGATTTCGCAGCATGCAGATCTTTGCCTCTTAGTTGCATTGTTTCCTTCCCGAAGTACCCCAGGATTCGACACCACACCCTCCTTACCACCATTAAGTTTGCAGCAGATGGACTCTCGTTCGACGGTGCGGGGTTTTGGGGGGGGTTAATGCAGGGCAGAAGTTGAGAAGAAATCGCTGCTAGGCGTTCGCAATAGTTTTCGCAATCGGGAAAATTCCGCCCGACGAGGGTCGTGCAACCCAGGCTGATGCGGGGGAACTTGAAAAGGCTTCTCCTGGTCCTGCAATGCGGTAATTAAATCATATCAAATCTGAGGGTTGGGGTTCTCATCAAGTTTTGTAATCGTCTGGACCGGCCCTCGGAAGGAGCAACGCAAGTGAATCGGCACACAGACAGAGAGCCGACAGCGAGAGAGAGAGATAGACAGACCGAGCGCGCAGGGAAGGTCGTTCTTTCTCACTTATCCTTTGCGAAAGAAGTAGAGCGAGCGTGCCCCCGGTCCCAAAGCCCGCAAGACAAGAATATCAAATGAGTGTGTTTCTTGGTTGCCTTGTCAAGAAAACAAGTATGTATTTTCCGCCCACCATTTGAGTTAAGAATAAGGGGGGAATGCGCTTGCGCCCTACCTTGCCCTGCCTGCCTGCCCTTGGTCGGGGGAGGGGGGGGAGGGGGGAGGGGGGCGCGGGGAGTGGGGCGCACCGCATCGTTGGGGATGGGGGTGGGGTGTGGTGCCCACCTTTTGGGGGTGGGTGGCGCTCCCCCAACCCTCAATCAGGTTCAGGATTGAAGGACAAGAAAACGTGGCGGCTACGCAGTGTAAGGCATCACCTCTTTATACCAGGTGGACTGTTTGAGCAAGCCCGCCTTCAAAAACATGGTCAACAAGCAGCCTTGTTGAGAGGGGACGAAAGCTCCCCTCCAGAAATTGTCGAGGCCTTGAATTGTGTGTTGCTGCAGTTGGGATGCAGTTGGGACATGAAGAGGAACCCTGCTGGACTGGGCCTCGGCCCAAAAACCGGGTGTGCTAAATTGGCGCCGGAGATGTAACAAGCCCTTGGACCAGAAGAAGGCACGAAAGCAAGGAAGGCGCACAGATGAGCACAGGGGTTGCGCATGTTGTATGGTTGCTACACACCAGGGAAGGAAGTCAGACAACGCGAGCCTTGCAAGGTGAAGGGAAGCCATTTCATGGGCTCATGTAAGTCGGAGTGCCTTGGCCTGGCGACGAGACTCACTAGACGGTCTCGCGAAGCCTCACTTGGTACGAGCCCTCAGCAAGCAGCAAGCATGCAGCAGCCTAGCAATGGCAAGATAGGAGGGGGCAAGGTTGCGGGTGGACGAAGACAAGCTGCTGCATCTGCCTGCTATCTGCTATCCAAGCAGCCCGGTCAGAGAAGAGGAGAGAGCTGAAAGTCGAGGCAGTGCCAAGTCGCGCGCGGGTTTTCGTGGCAAAACCGTGTCTACAGCTCATCAGCACCTGGAAGTAGCAAGAAGCCGAGGGCCGCATAAGCCTCACAAGGCATTCATCTGGATTTGCCGGGTTTCGTGTCGACGGTTCGAGGAACTTTCCGACATGTGGAGTGAGAGTTTTGCATTCGACATTTTCAGGAGGTTGATGTGAGTGCAAAGCTGACTAAGCGCTGGCCACCAGAAGGTGAGACAGGGACATGTGGTCAAGTATGTTGAGATGAGGTGGATCTGATATGAAGCCCTTTTCGCCTTATGACATTGAGTTGATGCTACGCCTTAAACGGCTATCATCGCTTGAAGATTCAAGTCCGGCCTTGAAGCTGAAGGTCAAGACCTTGACCGGCAAGACAATCACTCTGGATGTGGAGGTGAGGCTGAGAATGCTACCACGCGCACTCAGACGGTGCAATCTCGATTTGGCTTCAGACTGTCGCTGTTGATGCCCCAAGTGCAGAGGGTGTCTTTGCGCATCCTGCGAAGGGCTTCTTCGGCAACCCCGCAATCTGCAGCATTCTGCAGCATAACGAGTCACAAATAGGCTTCCACTTCCATGCGTCTCTTATGCGTCACAGGCATCTGACACCATCGACAACGTGAAGGCCCTGTTCATTGGCTTCTTTTCTTTTGCTGGTGCTGGCTACACTAGACGGTCATTTCAGGCGAAGATCCAAGACAAAGAGGGTATCCCGCCGGATCAGCACCAAGCTCGGACCGGATCGTGATCTTATCATGGACTCTCACTTCGCTCGAAAAATGCTCGCAAGTTGTGATTATGCAGGCACCCTGTCACATGCGTGTTCTTCCGTGGCAGGAAGGGTAGGCCTAAGGCTAGGCCATCTCAGATTCAGCTGTAGCAGGGTCACGGAATAGTCATGGCCACAGCATGGCGAGCTGGTGATATCTTGACTGCTTCTCGTGTCGGGTACGCTGGAGTTGCTGGAGTCACGTCGCAACATGCATCATCCGGGAGTCCTGTCAGAGCCGAGATAGCACTGAATCAGGACAAGAGCAGGCTTCAGCTTCGGAGACATGCCAGTCCCGGAAAAGAGAGATCTTTTAAATTCAGCGACTGCGCAGTCTCCGAGAACAGTCCCACGAATGCATACTCACCTCGAAGTGCAGCCATCGTTCCTGGATTCTCGCGAGGGTCGAGCCCTCTACGCGGACTGCGGGCAGGAGAGCTCATGTCTGCAGTCAGGGAAACCGAACGGTCCGAGCAAAGCCTTCGAAGCGACGATCAGAGGGCTGCCATGGCTTGGCCATTTCAGCGCGGGCGCGACGAGTTGATCCACGGGCGGGCATCGCCGTTCACAGCACGGTCAGCAAGTCCTTTCCGATCTAGACGAGAGAGCCGCTTCAGTGGAAACTCGGGAAACCATGTAGAACATGGAGACAAGCAGAGCTTGGTTATAGCTGCCACCGCAGCAGCAGCGGCAGAGGAAGAGGCAGAAGTGGATGTCTTGCGCCTTGGTGGCGTCGGTCGCGACGGACACACTCGCCCACTCTCGCCCCGGGTGCGAGACAGTCATTGGCTCGATGGCCTGTCTCCGCGCATCGCCGAGCGTGGAGGTTCGCGACTCTTCCCGACGCACTTAGCGATGCCGAAGGACCGACCCAGCCCCTCTACAGGCTCTGCGAAACCGGGCGGAGCGTATACATCACCAAGAGCTCGCCGTAGCCCACGAGCCACGACCCATACCGAAAAGGTGGCATGTAAGAAGACGGAGTCAAAGGCGAAGGACGCAAAGGCATCTCAAAGTGCTTGGGCAAAGAAGAAGACCGAGATTGGACACAAGCGATCAGAGCACCGCGCGGGGCCTTCAGTGGAATCACCTCAGCTCCCAGCATGGGCTAAGCCGCTGGAGGCCAAATCCAAGGAGAACGGGAGCCAAACTTCTTCTAAGGAGAGCATCTCAAAGCGACAAGACATGCAAGCTTTGAGGCAGCGCCTCGAGACAAGACTGAAAGCAGCGGAGCAGGGCCTGCACTCCCGGTCCCAGGAGGTGTCGAACACGGAAGAGGCATCAGCTTCAGCCTGAGCACTGCAAGCAGTGTCCTCAGGTTGTGCCGAGTTTGCCGGTCAATCGCGACTCTTCGTTTTCCAATGTTTCACAAGCTGGAAACGAACGTCGGGGTGCGGAGGGCGTCGTGGCTAAAATGCAGGGATGAAGCAGTAGCAGCAGCAGCAGTAGTGGTGGTAGTAGTAGTAGTAGTAGCAGTAGTAGTAGTAGTAGTAGTAGTAGAAGTAGGAGTAGGAGTAGGAGTAGGAGTAGGAGTAGGAGTAGGAGTAGGAGTAGGAGTAGTAGTAGTAGTAGTAGTAGTAGTAGTAGCAGTAGCAGCAGCAGCAGCAGCAGCCAGTAATACAAGTACTAGGCACCCCCCTGCCAACTACACTGGGTCTTAACCATGTAAAGACAACATCAGTTTTACTCGGTGAGCTGAGAGTTCAGTTTTTGGTTTCAGCTCGGTCGGGGCACCAATCATTGCTTGGTCTGGTTTGGGCTCGCAGCTTTAGTTGTCAGGTTATGTAAACTTAACAGGGAACGAAGTCCTGAAGAGTCCGAGAAAGCAAACAACTTGCGCTCTGTGCTCCTTGGGTGGATGCCTGCTGTGTAGGTGAGCTTCGGCAGCGTGCTCCCGTTGTTGTTGTTAAGTGGCTGTGGCGGTGATTGTAGCAATGGCCGCTGGCATGGTCATGCTTGCGGTTTTGCCTTGATCGTTCGAGGCAGCGGTTGATCTTTGCAGGCAAGCAGTTGGAGGAACGCTCTACCCTGGCAGCTTCCATCGTGCAATATCGTGCATAGCCAAATTCCCTTTGTGCTTGGAACCCCTTCCCTCGAGCGAATGCCGCGAGGATGGTCGAACTTTGTCAGACTATAACATCCAGAAGGCCTGTTCGTCACTCAGTTCTGACATGAAACATTTGCAATTGCTCCTGAGGAGTCAACCCTTCACCTGGTGCTGCGTCTGCGTGGTGGGCACTGTCAGGTGCCTTGCGGTCGCTGGCCAACACAATCAGTTCGGTCTGGCAAGCCTATAGCCCCTCAAGCGCCAGGGCGTGCTGTGGGAGGCGATTAGCCTGCGGCGCCCAATCTTTCGTGTGACGGTAGTGTCAACTTTCTACTCGCAGTCGTACGTGATGTACCTCCGGCACAGCAACAGACAAAAGACAGTGCGAAAATGGTGTGCCACGTCGTGAGCCTTCAGAGCAGGCAGCACACTACAGCAGGTGCAAAAGAGTAACAGAGGTTTTTCTCGATAAGGCAGCAGAGCGACGTAAGCAAGGCTCCCAAAGAAACTGGAAGGCGGAAGAAACGGCTTAACACCATCGCCTCGTAGTCTGTTTTGCTAGTCATGCTTCAAGTTACAACAGTGACAAGAGCAGCAAGAAGTAGCTGGACAATGCTGGACATGTTCCCTGCGCGTCAGTCCGTCAGTGGATGCATCATCAGAGACCGAGGAATTTTTGATGACCCCAAGCTCGTTGCCGACGTCAAAGAGGCTGTCGCAACGATCAAGAAGGCCCTGGGGTGTGTGTGTGTGTGTGTTTGCGCGTGGCCTGCAGAGAACATGAAGTTGCCCTTCCGTTCGAAGGCGAACTGCTTGTGGCCTCGGAGGGTCAAATCAGTTTGCCTTCCACATAGGAGAGACGACATGCATGACGTGAACTCAATGACTCAATGACTGTTTGTTTTTAGTCTGTGCGGCACTTAGTCAGTTGCCCTACCTGCTGCAGCCTGGCTTTCTGAGCTTGTTGGCTCGTAGTTGTTCTGTCATCTGGATCTTCGTTTGTTGAGCTTGTGTTCTGCGCACTCTCCAAGATCTCAGTCCATCCTTGCGCAGGCCATGGTCCAAATCGGAGAGCTGTCGGCGTGGGGCTTGGATGGGGATTCACTGGCTATGCTTTTACTGAACATCCAGGCCTATGCGTCAGAGGACGCAAGTGGATGTTTCTCGTGTTGCCGTTTCGGCTTCGGGTTTGCGCTCACTGGCTCGCAGCTCTTGAAGAAGCACGGGCAATTTAGGGCCCGTCAGAATCGTGGCGCTTTCAGCGTTTCTGCCAATGCAGTTGCTTGAGGCCAGTATGACGCCTCTGAACATCAATCAGATGACACGCTGGGTCAACACCAAGGCAATCACAAGCCTGCGGACGGGCTTAGCATGTTCTACTGCAACATGTAGCATGCCTCTGAGGAGGAGCACGCCGGCAAGATCATCTCACTTATGCGCCATGCCAAGTTGTTTGCGTGCAGTTTTGGGTGGACTTAGCATTGTTCGGACCATGGTTGTCCGAAAACGAGCTAAGGTCCGAGTATTGTCTTTGCCAGCGGGTGAAGCCAGTCAGCGATGCTTGGCTTGAGCGAGGCTTTTCGATGGTTCTCGAGCAGCATGTGCACTCTCCGGCTACGATTCGAACTGCGACCGAGGACCCAAAGACGCCCTTCGCAAGTGAGGCCGGGCCGCAGGGTGGGACTTGAAAGACCGTATTAGGATGCATTTAATTAGGCTTTTCCGCGCGGCGGCTCAGGGTCTTCTTTTCATCGGCTTCGGGCAGTTATGCTTGAGTAGGCGATCTAGTGCCTTCGTGCAATCAACAGACCATGCAAGACGCAAGGCAACACACTGGCATTTCTCAGCTCATGAATTCTAAAGCAACGCACTAGCGTGCAAGGTGGTATGCCCCTAGAAGCCTTTTGCAAGAGTCAGATTTGCCAGGCAGACTATATTGCGGCTCTGCAGTCGCATCACCAGGCCTGGTGTCCGACAGATCATGCAAGTGCAGCGAAAGCGCCATGTCAGGTTATGCTGGCGGCTGTCAAGTGCAAGCAGAACGTCGACCCCGCGCTTGCAGATGCGCTAGATGGAGCAGTTGCTGAGATGAGCAAAATGTGCCCAGCATGCAGTCAGTGTTCATGCTGGAAGCTTTCCGCGCCTGGAAGACGTCACATGCAGGTACATGAAGTGAGAGGGCCAAATTTGACAAGGTTCAAGGCGCACCTGCGTCACTGCCACTACCAGCCTGGATTTCTGGGTGAGTGGGTTGACAGACAGATTTTCTGGGGTGCGTGATGGGAGCGCAAGATCGGACTTTAGGTTGCGTCGGTACTTCGCTGACGGGAAACAGATGTATGATGTATAGCATGAACGCCGTGGGATGCTGAGTGCAAAACACTGCATCTTGAACCGTGTTCGGCCCAGGTCCGGTAGGGATATGCTGGTGATATATTCTGAATCACGGAAGCCTGCTTGCCTTTGCAAATGGGGTTGTATACTACCCCTGCGCCTCAGTGTTTTGTCTTGTGTACTACAATTACAACCCTGCACAATGCAGCCAGGACCCCAAACGCGGCATGTACAGTACTGAAGTTGTACTACAACCAAGCACAGGACCTCAAACGAGGATTTCCAGTACTAAAGTTTTACTATCATCAAGATTGGAGGTCTCGGTTGGTAAACCGATGACAAGAAATGAACACGATAACCCAATTCCAGGATAGGGAAGTTTATGCGGTGTTATTTTCCAACCCCAACTGGTGGCAACCGTGCAGCAGAGCACCCTTTCATTCACTTGCCCCTTTCACAGGATCTTCCCTCGCCTCGCTTTTGGCCCGGCCAGCAACTTATTTCGTGTGGCTACAATATTATGCTGCAGTGCGGTATCGAGGTTGTGTCACGGGCCATGGGTTTACAATGATGCAGATCCGGCTCAAGAAGTGCACTAGTAAATTCAAGCGAGGAAGCGTTGTTAGATCAGAGTGGCTGCCTAAATTGTGGCATGCCTGCTGACGTGACAAAGCGGCCAGACTATGATGAGGAGGCAAGAAAGCTCTTCGCGGCCCTTAACCTGCCGGTGTCTGGCGCTGCATCATCAGAGTCCTCGAGGCTGCATGGATACAATAATCTGGATGCTGTGTGGAAGCATCCGACGACAGGAGCTCAGGTTTTCATTGGGAACCAAACAGCAAGCGTCCAGAGAGACATCTTGCGTCAGAATGGCATCACGCACATTGTAAACTGCACGAGTGACATGGCAAACGCATTCCAGGGCAAAGATGGCTCGATTGCATACTTTCGGTTCGATCTCTACAAGTTCTTCTCAGCCCTGGATCTTCGATCTCACCGTGGTGTCTACGAGTTCTTTGTGCCAGTCTTCCAGTGGATCGATGAAGCCGTAGAGTCGGGACCGACTCGCAGAGGGCTTGTTGCAGCGTTTTGCTGGCATGGTACTTTGTTAGGGGTGATGATCAAAACTACTTGCTCGTAGGTGGATAGCACCTACGAGTAAGTCCGTTTGGCTTCCGCTTTGGAATATGTTGTTAGTGAAGCCCCACGTCTTTGTTCGTTCCTGCTTTCTTGTCTTTCCACCCTGGAAATTGCATTTTGCACTTCCTTTGGCTTTCTTCCTTGTCTGCTAGTGGTTGAGGGGTTGGAGTTCGAAGTCTCCATCAGGCCACCCGACGGCCGAGGCAGAGCTGGATCTGGCATGCCTCACGTGCATCACTGGCTTGTGTAGCAAGGCTTATGGAGTCAGCTCGAAGCCCGCCACTCTTCTCGTGCTGATGTGCAGATCAGTTAATCTCACGATTGCCATCATCGTCAACAGCTTCATCCTCAGTAGTGTCCGCGCCGTTGTCGCTGTACTGATCCAAGCCAAGCTTCAATACTGTACGAATTTGATCGGAATCCTCTTTCATAAAGGAACCTAGAGTGTCATGAACAGACCAATAGAATATCAAGGGCAGTGGAGAGATACACCGCTCCGGTTAAACTGAAAGGATTTCTGTGCTAGATCTCGCTTGAGCTCCAAGAGCAAGAGACCCATTCAACCAATCTTTTTGCATGAAACCTGGTGGCAGTTTCCAGTGCAGTTTCCAATTGAGACCGGTGATGTCGTTCTGAGCATGCAGACATATCGAGATGTATGAGATGTATGATACTGCCAGAGTCGGAATCTCATCGAAGCCGAAGTGATGGTTATTCTGTGAAACTGAAAGTTTCATCCACGTTGAAACTGCTAGCCCTTACAGGACACAGCGTTCTGATCCACTGCTTAGCCGGAGCTCATCGAGCAGGCACTACTGGCGTTGCGTACGTAATGCATGCTGCCAACATGGATCATCGGACTGCCCCTTGATGAAATTGGAGCGCATGGGTCGCATGGGTTGTTTGTAGCATGCATGTAACTTGTTCGAAGACTCTTGTCTCTGAGGCTATTCTGGCTTGCAAGGCTTGCCGACCGGCGGTAGACCCGATCGGCGACCTCACCACTCTTTTGAGCCAGCTTCATGCAGCACGCCAGGCACGCGAGGCACGTGAGGCTGCCAAGCAGTGAAGTACCCGGTAAGCCTGGCGCCGCACATAAACGAACCTGAGAACCTGGCGAAGGAAAAGGAATTGCCATTGCTGTTACTGTGAAAATCTGTGACATTGGGAGTAGCAGGCCTGGAAGATGCACAAAACCGAACTGTCGACGAAGTTTCGCGGCTTGTTCCTGCTGGTTGTCCTACACATACCAGCCTTACAGCCTCACCAGCTTGTAATTACTTCCGAGGACCCTCTACGCACAGATTGCGAGTCTGAGGCAGCTGCTCTAGATTTTGAGACATCAGCTGGTGTAAAACGTCTGCGCCAGTGCCTGATCACGGACATTTCCGCGGCATGTGGCATCTTTGCATCGAGAACGCAAGTCTGTGTGCCGCATGGATGCTTGCTTACTGAAGACATTTCGTCGCTAGCTCAGCTCCCCATCAATTCAGCCTCAGCGGTGTTTTGCCACTGTCATGCAGATCTTCGTGCCTTGGTTCACTGGCAATGGCCTGCAATGCCTCAGGCCCTGCACTGTTGCTGTTCAGGTAAAGACTCTGACGGGCAAGACTATCACACTGGATGTCGAGGCGGTGCTGTCTTGAGAGGTTTCGATATCTTTCATGTGAAGATCATCTGTGTCGGCAAAGCGGGGATTGCAAGCTGGCGCAAACGCAAGTTTGAAGCAAGTGTAAGAATACAAGTAGGCAGCACCGAACTGCCTCATGCTTGTCGAAGTCTTCTGTCGATGAATGTGCCACTAAATCCGAGGCACGGTAGTTGTCAAGACGCTCTTGTCATGCTTCCTGCTAAGCGGGCTTCGCTGTGGCAAGAAAGCTTGCCATCTGGCATGCAGGCCTCTGACACCATCGACAACGTGAAGGTGACATGTTGACTGAGCGAGTTGTGCTACTGGGAACAGCGGACGGCACTGTCACGCGAGGCCAAGATCCAAGACAAGGACTGTATGATCGTGGTATATCGTTGTTAAGCAGGGTTCTGCGTGTTGCCATGCTCCAGCGTTGATCATGCCGTGCAGTCGTTGTGTGAGAAGCAGCTTCCAAGCTCGCAAGGAAGGTATCCCCCCTGACCAGTCGGAAACTCACGAGGGAGATGTGGAAAGAATGTAGTGCTTTCTTGCCATAGCCGTAAGGCAGCGGCTCATTTTTGCGGGGAAGCAGCTCGAGGACGGACGATCGTCGCAGGGTCTTGGAGAATGCTAAGGCTTTGTCTGAAGGCGCAGATTGTGCCCTGGCACTTCTCAGGATGGCCGTACCTTGTCGGACTACAATATCCAGAAGGCGGATGTTGTCTTTCAGATGACCTCTGGTATTGGAATACAACACACTCCAGGAGTCCACGTTGCACTTGGTGCTTCGCCTGCGCGGTGGCCACTGTCAGGTACCCTGCGGCAGCTCGGACGGCATTTGAGTCAGTAAAGTGCCAAGGCGAAGGAAAGGCCTGAGGCCCTGGGGCTCGGCGGGCCGCTGGCCCCTGGCTAAATTAGGCGTTTAAGACGAAGAGCTTCGAGGCTGCGCTTCGGACACTTCACTCGTTCAACGGATGATATCTGCAGATGCACCCGCAGGAAGGAGTTTCAGCATCGATTGATATGTCGGGCATAGAAGAACAGCTAGCACGACCTTCCCTGTGATTTATCTTGTGACAGCTTGGTTGGTTCTTGTTGGTCCGGTTCATTGAGTGATCCATGGTGTGTGTGGCCCAAGGGTCACCGCAAGTGGCGCAAGTCTAACGATTCTGCGCATCACTTTTTGTTTTCACCGCGTAGCTTCGACGTATCACGGCATTGAGTGGGCAGAACCGCATCAGTGGGCAGAACTAGTAAAGCCAGCGGAAGCCATGTAGGCCCCAATGTCGGCATATTGGCTGCTTTCTGAAAGCAGTGTTATCTAGCTGTTGTGCCCTCCAATGTTGTGAAAGGCATTTTTGATGATCCCAAGCTCGTGGCCGACATGAAAGAAGCAGCTGCCACCATCAAGAAGGCCTGAGCGACACTTCCAACGAGCCCGTGGCGCTGTCGCAGTTCACTGATATTTGATATCAAGACACTGCCACGCCCAGCCGCATAATGCGAGGTGGAGCCGTATGCCCACACCATCGTTGAACCGAAAACACCTCGCTTCTCAGACTCCCCGGTCACAAGCTCTCACTTGAACCAGGCCATGGTGCAGATCGGGGAGCTATCAGCCGATGGCCTGGATATACACGAGGAAGTGATTACCCAGTGATGTTTGATTTCCCTCAGGCTAACATGACGCCGTTGAACATCAACCAGATGACGCGCTGGGTGAATACAAAGGACTTCGGTCCTTCAGCAGGCCGCGCTTGACTGGGGGCGAGTCATGTGCCGCTGGTGGCACGAGGAAGAGCATGCTGGCAAGATCATCAGCTTGGTGCGCTGGGCTCATGTTGTCCCCGTGCCAGTGCAGGACCGGCAGGACAGTGAGACAGGACAAGCCCATCCAATGTCTTCTAAGGTCAGAATACTGCCTTTGCCAGCGGGTGAAGCCGGTAAGTGATCCAAAGACACCGTTTTCGAGCGAGGCCGAACCCCACAGTGCAGGGCGTGTATTTGAGCTACTTGAGACGGCATGCGTGCAGGCGGATTTCATCGCAGCCCTTCAATGCCACCACCAGGCCAGCGCCCTGCAGACTGCAGTGCATGAGTTCTCGTGAGATTCCAGCACGCACTTTTAAGGTGATGTTAGCGGCTGTGAAGTGCAAGCAGAATGTGGACCCGGCATTGGCCGATGCCCTCGATGCGGCTGTCGTTGAGATGGGCAAAATGCGCCCCAGAATCTCCCTGTTTCAGAATGCATTCCAAGGACAACCATTCCCGGATGCAAAGCCGCCTGCAAACAGGTACATCAAATGATGCCACTTCTGAAGTACTGCCTTTGCAGCACCCGCACGCTTGCCTGGGTGAGGGCAAGCAGTCAGAGGCCGTAGCAACTCTGTCCGCCAGGCTTTTGATACCTTTGATTGTGGCCTTCTCTTCCGCTCGCCGAGGGTGTGGTGGGACTATATATCTCTACCTCTTAACGGTGATGCAAGTATGTTCAGATGTTCAGATGGATGTCCCACCCGCCTTTGCCGAGCACATAGTCGAGACGACAGGAGTTGGACAGGAATGACAAAAACCACTGACTTCCACTGATGAGTTCGCAAGCAAAACCCGTTTGCATGCCCATGTCCCTGCCGTCAAGGTCCTCTATCCTCGCGAAGAGGGCGACGGGCCGAAACTCCGCTTCGGCCCTACTGCAGTGCAGCGCTGACACCGTTGCCCCCAGCGCCACCTGGTTCTCGCTGCATGCGCCCACCCGCATGGCTAGATAATGCATGCTGGCCTTTGATGCGCTTTCAAACTTGTATCGATTCAGCAAGGCCTCCTTCGCTGAAAGCACCGCAACTTGGTGCTTGCCTCAAACATCGGTTGTCGCTTGATTGTTCCCTGCCGTGATTTGATCGACGATTGGGGGTCGAAACGGTTTCATTTGGCCAGAGATTCAATGGTATGTCAATGGTTTCAGACCAGCACAGGCTCACATGCACTGATGTCGCGGAGAACGCCCGGTGCCCTAGCGGCGGTGGTGCTGCCATGACAATGTGAAGGGCAGAGAGCAGACTGAAAGCGATTGAAATCGTACGAGCTACGAGGTTCAGCTTGCCTCGGCCACAGGCCCGGGGCCCATGACAGCTCCCAGGTCTTTTGCACTTGACTCCCCTCTTTGGCAGGAGGGGCAAGTGGAGGCCGCATGTGGCACCGGCCCAGAGCTCGGAAATTTCGGAAGGCTCACAATGCACAGCTTTCGGTGTCATGATGTTTGCAGGTGAGCATGACGCCTTTGACGGGCATTGCACAGGCTTGGTGCCGGCGCACCACGACTGCAACTTATCACATCTTATCATTGCAGTACCAATCTGCCTGAATCTGGCTGAGCTTCTTTCTGCCCACGAGGAAGTTCAGCACCTCTTCCAAAACTGTCTTGACATCTCTTGACCAAGTTTGTCTGAGAACGGATTGCCCATTTCTGTTGACATCATGCTGCATGTGTCAGCACAGAAGCATCGTACCAGTAGGACCCATCTCAGGTGAGCATGCTATAATCTGATACGATTGCATTACATGCTTCCAAAGATGCAAGTATGCCCCGTAAGAGCATGGCGAGTGGCCTGATCAGGGATGTCTGGATAAGCACACAACGGCACACCTGATCCGCAGCAGGCGCCACTTCCGTTCTCTGTTTCGCCGAATCCACTTTTCTGGCCTTGTTCTCGCACTCTTCCACCACCCCGGATTGCACATCTGGGCTCGTAGCCGGGTGGTTTGCTACAGTCCCGCCCTACATCAAGCCCATGCGTGTAGCGGGTGACCCGCGCGGGCGAGCATGACCCGGATAAACTGCTGGAGCGGATCAAGCACCGGTGAGGTCTCACCCTCGAAAGCGGTCTAGGACAACATGAGTGGCCAGTAATGGCCAGTACACACTCCTCTAACGATACTGAGCGGAAAACTTTGAGAAAGCTTATGTGTTTGTTTTCTATGCATGCTGTGTGTTTGGTTTGGAAACCATTTATCAGGATTTTCAGCTGCTGCGAGTCATCAGAGAACCTCAAAATCGGCAAATCTCTGACGAAAGGGCAGCATCAAATCGCATTTCGGAGTTAATCGTTCAGGCTAAAGGGTTCTTTCCTGCTTGCAAAGTTTGCAGGACCCGACAGATCCCTGAAAGCATCACAAAAATTCTGCAACAGCTGAGCTGCTCTCCAGGCTCGGGTGTCACAGATTTTGTGGATTGATGAAACAAACACAGGCCTCCTTAGGCTTGTTGGGGAACCTGGGCCGCCAAGTGGAACGGATGTAGGACATCATCCTGGTTGTGAAGGTGACGACGATGGAAAAACCGCCTCCGACGGGCCTACGACACGATGACGTCGAAGCTCATGACCACCTGCAACTAGTTGCTCAGATTCCGGAGCCCGACAGCCAATGTGTCTGGAAAAGTTTGGTGTTGACGTGCAACGAGGAACTGCCTGGATTCCAAACTGAGCTTCGCAAGAATGCGCTGAGCAAGTGCATCTCCCACACGAAATGTCTCTTTCCGTGGCATACACGGCACTCGAATATAGGCTAGCGAACCCAGACAGAGCGTCACTAACGATCCCGTAATATCAAAGTAAAGTTCCTGCCATGCTCTCCTGAATATTTGTTCGTGAGGGCAACTCCTCGCAGTGGAAACGGCCGCGTGCGAGTGGCATGCTCAGGCTCTCGGATTGTGATTTTCGTGCCCACCCCTTTTGTCGGCGAAGGCAACGGCATCATGCCGGCTACCTCGAGCATCCAGCTCTATCGCGATAGAGGCACTGATTCAATTTCGGGCATGTGGCTCGTGCTGCAGAGTGAGAAAGGGATGCGGGACTCCGAGAGGCCAGGGACGCAAGCCCGGACTCGACATCGTTCAGGCAGTTGCCGCTGCAGAGAAGGGTGTGCTATGAGAGCCTGCGCGGTTGGAACGAAAGCAGTGCCCATGTAGTGATGTCCCACGCCAACATACATCCACGAGTTATGCTTATTGAGATACATGGTATTGACCTAGCCAATTTTCGATCAGAGCACTGGCTGCTTCCCCTCTCGAGGTGTGGACTTCCGCCGCTACCGAGGGTGGACTCTGCCCAGGTCATATTTCTTGCTGATGCTGCAGTTGCCGTTTCTGCACAAATACCATGCCCCGAGACGATCTCTCGACCTGAATCACAACAAGGCTCATGAGTCATGAGCCAGTCCCTTCTGTGCCTGCGCAGGCCTTGCAGTGCAGGAAGTGCACAGGACGTAGACTGCCACAGGTCGAACCCGATCAATCTTGCGGACATCGCGATCACGAGAAAGGCCCTTGGGTCGGAGCCAAGAGTTCTTCTGAAAGTTGTTGCTGCGGGCGTGGGCATGCTACATGGCGAGCCAGTCATGGGAGCCTTTGAACTTCGGATGTGACACCTCCATGTGTGTCATTCTACACGAATGGCGTGAACATGTCAACTGCATGGCTTACCGCGGCGTAGCAGGTCCAAGAACCCGGAAGAAGCATGAACGAGGTATCTCCAAATAAAGCAGGCGACAAATGTAAATGACACACACCATCAGCAAACATCTCGCCTGCGTGACATTGCATGATATGTGTATGAGCTTTGTCTGCAAGGTCGAACTCTCAGAGCAAGCGAGTTTCGTTTTCCGGCGACTGCAAGCGGACAGCCCAGCCTGGTGAACCTATTGCCTTCATGCTTTCTCAACTGACTTTCAGTCGAGGCCTGCGCCCCCTGCTTCCATCGATGATTTGATTCACCAGTGCAAAGCACCTCCAGATGCTCGGCAATTGAAGACTTCGGTACCCTTGGCATTGATTGCTGGAGTGCGGCGTCCTGGTGAGGAAGAGCTCAGCGTACCAGCGCCAGGCACACAATTGGTAGTCCATGATCCGCTGTTCGTCCCTCAAACAAGCGGTTGGTTCCCATTTCTCGACTTAAGTCCTGCTCGAGCTGACCAACACAGGCAAGTCAAGAATGTCCATTCATCTTCATGTGCTTCCGCCAGCTGTCGCGGCTCAAACCTCAGCTCGACCAGCGAAACGTTCTCCATGACAGGTCGGGCTGCGAGCTACACTACTGATTCGTTGGTTTGGCATCGGGTGCAGCAGCTGTTTGTCCATTTCCATCGGTAGCTTTGCTTCGATCTGCTGCGTGCCAGCAGGGTCTGGACCCGAATCGCGCCCTGGACTTCGACAAACTTGGTTAAAAATAGCAAAGTCTGACGCAGGCAAGCGAATGGCTTTTCGACACCTCGCGATCTTTGCGGTGATTCTGGCCAAAGCAGAGCCAGAAGTTTGCGAGGACTGCACAGCACACACTCGCGAGGATGCAGAACATTTTGGACGACGGGCACAGATTGCGGACTGCAGCCACATTTCTTCCAAATGCCTCACAGACACAGACACAGACACAGAC